CCCCTCCTACTTCCCCCCCTAGTAACCATAAGATTGTTTTCTATGTCTGTGAGTCTGTTCCTGTTTTATAAATAAGTTCATTTGTCTTTCTTTTTTTTCCAGATTCCACATATAAGTGATATCCTATGTTATTTTTCTTTCTCTTTCTGGCTTACTTCACTTAGAATAATATTCTCCAGGGCCATCCATGTTGCTGTAAAATGGCATTATTTTATTACTTTTTATGGTTGAGTAATATTCCATTGTATAAATATACCACAACTTCTTTATCCAGTCATCTGTTGATGGACATTTAGGTTGTTTCCATGTCTTTGCTATTGTAAATAGTAGCGTTAAAATTTTACTATTTAATATAGGCCTTTGTCACTAAAAGTAGTATGTTCTGAAAAATACAAGGAAATATTTTTAGATCCTGTGTTGTTAAGCTAAGTTTTTGAATCAGTCCTGAACAAGCCTCTCTTATAGATGCATTTTTAGTTTTATAACAGGAAGATTTCTATTTCCAGGAATTTATTTCTTCAATGAAACAGAGTCCACACTTCTATTTATGTTCCTTAGCCCATGAAAGCCTGAGCAGAGGTTCAAGGAGTACTGGGGTCTGAGACTCAAATTGGGATCTGAGTCTGTCCAGCACCCTTTTCCAAAGGAAATTAACCTGGGGGTGGTATATGTAAGAAAGAAGGGAACTTATTTAAAGCTTAGGGCTTTTTCCATGGTGCATGCATGTTTGTGTGTGTGTGTGTGTGATTTGAAAATTCTATCTTCTTAGTAGAACATATAACGAATGCTCAGGGTTTTTTTATATCAGTATTAGGAGACAAATGTTTGCTTTTGTCACTTCAATTTATTCCACTTTTATGACTGAGCATAGATATCTTGAACTCCTTTGAATAAATGCATTATACAGAGTTGACTTTTTTAAAAATTTATTTTGATTCATTTGAAGCTCTCATTTGTTTTAATAATCCTTATTCAGGTTTTGGATCATAAAAAGATGGCATGTTCAAAATTCAATCCCAGTTAATGCCCTGTAACTTTAGGTTGGCTTATATCTCAGCATAGAAAGAGACTGTTCTATATCAGTTATCCCATAATGACTAGTATTTAACTCTGCTAAAGTCAACCAGTTGGAACATTCACCCACCACATCCAAATTAGCCAAGAAAACAAGGGAGCAACATCGCTGCATGCCTTTGACCCTGGCCCTGCCATAGCATTTCTCAAACACCTCCCCTGAGAGCCAGCTCTCTGCTGGGCCCTTGGGTGAAGGGTGTACAGTGTAAGCTCTGTTATGCCAATAAAGACATACTCAATTTTGCATATTAGGTAGCTCTCTGGGTGGCAGGGGGGAAGATGTGGGAAATCTTTTATATCTGAAAGTAAATTTTTTTGCTCAAATTTCATAATGATAAATTATTATATTTTATTTAAATTACACATGAAAAATACTGCCTTGTTAACAAAGGTATATTAATGATTTATAAATATTGGGCAACATTTGTTAGCTATGGAAGGGAAGACAGCCATCACTATCATTCCTATGTAGTTTGTAACCAGAAGTCAGGAATCAGTGAGGCTGTCGGAAATGATGATGACGACAATGATAATAACAATACAGTTCATATTTACTGAGCACTTCCTATTTGCTATGTGATTTACATGGATTACACTGTCTGATACTCACTACAACCCTACAAGGTTAATACTGTTTTTGCATTTAAGAAAATGAGGTTAGATAGATGAGATCATTTGGCCAAAGATTAAAGAGCCAGAAAGTAGCAGATTCAGTATCCAACGAAGGTCTATCTAATACCACACTGCCTTTAAAATTATTTTATCCCTCTCCACTCCCATCCCCACTGCCCCAAATAACAGTCTGGTCTCCTAGAATATGTAATTTCTTAAGTTAGGAAATTTAAAGACATACAGCCTTTTGTCTAACCAGATTAACAAATAAAAAATGTTTTTTTAAAAATAAACATCCTCCAGATGACTTTTTCCTCCATAATTTTAGAAAGGACATTTGAAACACCTGAAGCACTGTATTACTTGTAGTTGTTTTGGTAAGATGTGATTCACAACAATGACTCTGCAGTATCTTGTGGAAATTATCTGCCTGAAGAATGGAAAGGGTAGATCCTAATCTTAAAAGTGAATTTGAAACTGTAGATTTTATGGTTTGTTCTTTGCCTCATTGTAATTTGGCCTGTTTAGCAATATAAGTAGTTAAAATTCAGTACTGTACTTCCCACTTCCTGTTGTAGATAATTTTGAATTCAATGCATAAGTACCAGCCACGGGTGCATATCATTAAGAAGAAAGACCACACAGCCTCATTGCTCAATCTGAAATCTGAAGAATTCAGAACATTCATCTTTCCAGAGACAGTTTTTACGGCAGTCACTGCCTATCAGAATCAACTGGTGAGTGTACCAATCACAATTTATTTCCTGAGTAAGATAACGATTTAGGAGATTCTTTTATTTTCCTGGAGAAAAGGGCCATCCCAGTACCCAAATATAAGTTCACTTTGGGGAAAGCTATTGAGAATCAGCCCCAGGACCTCCAAGTGTGTTGAGTGACCATGGCTCAAAGTTGTGAAAGTCTGTATTACAACATCTTTTCTAGACTCTTCATACTCCCAGTCAGGTTGTTCACTGCCTACTCTCCCACCCAAACCTGCCCTAGTCTGCCTTCTCACATTTTCTTCTTGAGAAAATTACCAGCTTCCTTTTCCTCCTCCTGGTAGAGCCTCATGACTTACATAACCATACACTCAATGCTTCATAAAATTTAGAAGTTCAGTTTTTCTCCTAAATTAGCACATATTCTAACCAACTGCCCAAACTACTGATATGTTAGCTATTTTGTGAGGCTTATTCAGCTGTAATTTAGGATGAGATAATTCTAGTAGAATACTTTTAAATGCCCCTTTAGATTATAAACTGTACTATGTAAGCAGTTGTGTATTTAATTAACATCAAGGCATCTAATTTATAATTAATAGAGTTATATATTTTTCTACTGTCTGTTGTACATTGTATTTAAAATTTATGCATTTCTTCATCCATAAGGTTTAGTCCAAGTCAACAAATATTTATCAAAGTCTTGCTAAGAACTAGGTACTGTTAGATACTTCCCCATGTATCCTTCTTTCATGATCAGTGTAATCTTGAAGGCTGGGGGTAATAGTAACATTCTTTAGTGAAGATGTTGAAGCTGAGAGATGGTAAGTACCTTTTCCACAGTGTGAAAGGACCTGAAGTAGAATTCATTTTGATATACTGTACTTTGGTAAAAGGAACTCACATTGTCAGTTTACTTGACAGATTCAGTTGTTTGTAGCCTCTCTGGGTTTTGTATCTTGCTTTTATTTGATTAGTTATAGGCAGCCAGGACTCTTGCTCTCCTTATGTCTTGATGTTGTTATATTTTGGATTCTGAGTGAATAGCTGTTAGGTGCTGCCTGATAGATGGCTCAGAGTGCAGAGTGGGATTGTCAGCCAAGGAGGGATGGTGTTGAGTCCCTCAGGAAAAGCAAGAAAATGAAGCTGAACGCCTAGGTAGCCCCACACAATGAGGAAATGGGAGCCAAGGGAAGGGATGTGGAAACACGGCCAGAGTGGGTATGTGTCTGTATGGCATAATCACCTATAATCTCCTTACGACTTTGAGTGGATTTCACTTTACCACTGTGACTGCCTGTAAACTGGGGCTAAGGACAGCCTCGACCATCTTAGAGAACTGCTGTGATAGTCAAATGAGATCCTGTGCATAATCATGCCTTCGGAAACTGTAAGGTACTCTATCAATAAGGCATGTGCTTACTATTGGACTGTCTCTGCAATGTCCAAAGAGGACTTGTCACCATTTGGATTTTTAAATGTTAGTGGCATATTTTTAAATGAGATAAAGGAATGCATAAATGTTAAAATGCTAATCATCTCTAAGTAAAAGCTAAGTACTATAACTTTTTAATTATCCCTGAGATAACAACACAGGAGTGGCAACTTTCAGAAAATGCCCAAGCTAAAAATTTGGGTACAGACTGGAGCCCACAAAGGCCAAAAACACTAGTGTTATTTCTCTTAGAATCTGGAACACTGACATCAACAATCCCATTTTTTTAGTTTCTCTAAGGACACATGTAATATAGATATCACAGGTTCAGAAAAGATTCTTGAAACATTCAATTTTCACCAACTGAATTTGTAGCTTTTATACTATAAAAGCTATACTATAAAACATTAGATTTATACTAATACAAGAAACCCTGATGTTTGAGAATGAAATAAAAACTTGTCATGTGGAAACTTCATTGCTTTTATCAGAATTCTCTGTAAAGAGAATCAAAGCAAGAATAGGTAAATTGGTTTTTTTAGTGAAAATTACAGACAGAATGAAATTAAGGGAAGTTCTAAGTATAATACCTCAGATTTGGTTTAACTGGTGAAGGAGCAATCCTCAATAAACATTGGCAGGACCTCTCATATCATGGTGCACTGAAATAGGAGGTTATTACCTACATGTTTATAATAATAGCTGATATTTGGGTACTTACTATGTGCAAGACACCATGTAAAGTGCACTGTCTTATTTAATATTTACAATGATATTATGAGATAGAAACAAGTTTTTTTAAATTGCATTTTACAGCTGAAATAATTGAGGCATGGAGTTAAATAACTCATCCAATGTGATCTTGCTGCTCCCATCACAGATCTGAATCCAGCTGGTTAGTTTTAAAAGTCAGTGTTCTTAACCTCTAAGCCTTAGGTGCCTGGTGTCCCCAAGAAAGCAGAACTTCATCTCCTCTCAGCTCATGACCCTGATGGACTCAAGAGAGCCTCTTTAGAGGGTTTCATCTCTTTATGTTCATTTCTTTTCCTATTCAGCAAGTCCTCACTGCTTACCTGCTGTGTGCAGGGAGCTGTTCACACTGATAGCAGCCAGTGTGGCAAGATGGTAAGCATCCTAAACTGACAGTCAGAATAACTACTGGCATTAGCTGTATCTAATAGGAGCCATATGCTTTAGTGACATTATCTCACTGAATTCCACACAGATTCAACACATAACATTTTTCCATATTTGCTTTACCTCCTTTGCCCCCATTTCTCAATCTCTATATGTATACTTTCCCCCTTCCCACAATCACTTGAAACTAAGTTGCATGCATCGTGATAGTACTTGTAAGTACTTGTACAAGTCTAGACCAACATTAAGATTATTTCGTAAGCACAAATCTTGATCACATCTAAAACTGAGCTCATATGAAAAATTTCAGGATGGACCAACAAATATCTTTTTAACTTTTTTTCCCATTCTGAACTAGTATCTGCCTAAGGTTTGTGGTCTGGATTTACTACTTTTAATTTAGAAAAATTTCTCTACATTTTAAATCAATATCTCATTTAATTCTGACACTAATCCACTGAAGAAGGCCCTATGAGCCCCATTTTGTGGATGAAGGAACTGAGGTTCAGAGTGATTAATATGCTTGCCAAAGATCACAAATCTGGTAGGTGACAGAACCATCTTCTGAATCTTAATTCCTCCTTTTTGGTGGCATCGTGCTAGACTGCAGGGCCAAAAAAGTGACCACTGACAGTGTCAAGTTTGGGAAACTGAATTTGAAAATGACGCAAGATTAAAATAGGTTAAGATACTAATAAATACACATCTCAAACTAGTTGCTCGTCTTAAAAAAGTTTATTTCAAATTAAGGTTATAAACGGGCTCAAAATCCACCTATCAGTAGTGTCAAGCTAGCTGTCACTGAATCATTAAGTGTAATGATAAATATAACTCGTATACCATTTCATTGCTAAACAACCCTCAACAGAAGTGGTTAAATTCAGAAGGAATTTTGTCAATAGATCCTGCACTGAGTTTGAGTGTATGTATTTGAAATTCAAGTAACAGTCAAAAATTTGATTTGGTATACTAAGAAGCCAGTCTTGCAAATCGTTTATAAACCTCATAAAATCAATTGAAATTCATGTTCAATAAACATATGTGGCATGAATAAATCAACTTGGGGGTTAGTATTTTCATTAGTCTTATACAATTTTCTAAAGTTATCCTTGATTCTTTCTAGACCTCCCCATATTTAGTGCTTTCTCACTGCTGTACCATGCTTGCCAACTGATTTACCTATAACAAGCATGTAATAAAATAAATATATAGGAAATAAGCAAATTAAATATGTACCTAATCTTTTCATGCTCAACAAAGAGCCAAGAGAGAAAGAAGATTTAAAAGTTCACATTAGGATCAACTTTATCACTCTTAAACTTTGGATAGGATGTTATTTTCATGTCTATTAAAAGTAAAATCAAAGTTTCTAATAGAATGTGTGAAAAAACTTCTCATTTATTATGTTTGGTAGTTTTATTTATAAGTAATGAAAATGAGACCTTTTTTCCCCCTAGTTTTTGCTATTTTTTCCCTCTGGTTTTTGTGAGGAAATGAGCATTTCTTTACATTATTAGATTAAAGCTAAATACATTACACTTTCAACAAACTATTTTATAATTTAAGATTTAAAGGTCATACATTGTTTTTGAGCAGGCAGGCCATTGCTGTAGAGTTGAAGTGTAGGTCAGGTTTCATTTTTAAATGCCTTTGGACAGATCTTTTCCTGATAATTGGAGAAATGGTCTCTGAGGGCCAATTTCACCTTGTAGCTGGGAACCCTAGCTGGATTCAGAGTCCAGTGATATCACATAGAATGATAACTACTAGAAAAAGTCCCTTTCTCTTTGGTGTAGCTGGCAGTATCAAAATCTGCCCTCCAGTTATGCACACATTTATCTACAGATAAAGGAGATGCTGAAAGAGTGAACTTTTTGGTTAGGAAATGCATTATGTTCTATGTCATTAAGATAATACATGAAAAAAACAGAGTGTATTTTGACCGGAATTAGTCAGTGATTTGCATAAATGTAGATATACATGAAACTGCCAGATTTCTTAAGCACATACTGCCATCCTTGTTAATGCTTTTCCCTCATGAAATGAAAAACACTGTTGGTTTTAAAATTTATTATTGAATTATAAAGCCATACTTGTGATTTCACATGGGTTCTCTATGTATTATTTTTGGTAGTTGAATATTTTTGGATTCTTCTTTCAGTTTTACCTTTGGCATGGGTGATTTTGTTCAACAGTGTTACAAGCTGCAGGTATTCTATATTAGGGAACAAATACAATGATGTCCAGCTGAAGTCACTGTATACAACTCAGGTCCTTTCTCTCATCAGTTCTCAAATATGTAACTTTTTCAGTTCTCCCAAATTTCATAAAGGGATGTAAAACTATGTCTGCAAAAATGAATTTCTTTCTGTGTAACTGCTGACTTTTATTTAAATATCCATGGAATAAAATCTATGCCTAACCTTTTAAAAATGAACAATTACCTAGAATGTTAAAACTTTGCTATTTAAAAATTACTTTGCCTTAAAATTAGGAAACAAAATGAAACACTTTTTATGTAAACTCAAGAAGAATTTCACCTAGCCTATAACTGGTAAAAATATGAAATCATATCTCAGACTGCTTGTTCTTGAAGCAAAGTTCAACAAACATTTCCAGGGTGCTTACTGTTGACACCCCAATAGATTCAAAGTCTAGTGGTATCACAGTGAGTGCAGTGGGCTCATTAACAAGTTTAATCCATGGTCCCTGTGTTGCTAATCAATACTCCACAAAGTCTGTTCAAGACTGCAGTGTTAGTTCAGGGCCCCTGTACAATTTTAGTAATAAGACATCCATTCAGCTTTTTTTCCTCTGATTTCCAAAAGTAATTATTTTCCCTGGAATTAGATTAAATGGTCCATGGAGAAAGTAAATGCCTGGTTATTATCTTGAGCTCCTTTTCTAATTAGCACACTAAAGGTAAATCATTGCTGTGACCAATTGGTAAATCTAGATGTATGAATGCATCATGTACTATTCTTGAAAGTTTCCTACAGTTTGAAATTATATCAAAATGTAAAGAAAAAAGTAACCATTGATACTCCTAGGGATTATGAAAGAGGGACTTAAAAGATAGTGGAAAGAGAAAATTCTAATAAATTAAAGAAAAGTCCAAAGAAATCTGAAAACTTGCATTGAATTTGATTCACTTCATCAGAGTTAATGGCAGCAATATTAGATATGGTGGTGACACATCAATTGAACACCACACACACACCCCTTAAGAGTATTTAGTCTCTACGACGACTCCACAATCATATTCTGAGCCAATTAATCTTTCTTTACCTTTTGGAAATACGAAGAACAACAAATATGATTTTCAAAATCCTTTTCAAGGACAAAGCAGATCAAAGATTTTTCTTTAACTATTGTAACATAATACTTTTCTATTCTTTTAGTTTATAAAGAATCAGACAAAGCTTGTTGTGGTTCACATTTTAGAGGGATGGCTGTAAAAGGAGTAAACATTCAAAATTAGTTTCTCCAAACATGTCTGCAGAAAATTTTTTCCATTGGCAAATCCATTCACTTTCTAATTTTATAAATGAACTTACAGGAATTAAGCTTGAAAGAAGCCTTAACTCCACAGTTTCAGTTTGAAACTTTCACCTGGGTTTGGTTCACTCTTAAAGTCACTAATTTTGCAGTGGATGTGACACCATCCTCTTTTGTGGCACTTAAATCATTTCCAGTTCTGGTAAGCTGTGTATCCCTCTGCCTGCTCCTTGGAATTTTAAGCTCCATTAGGGCAGGGACCACGTGTTCTCATTTTTGTTGATGAATTATTGTGGAAGTGTCTTCATGAACTATAAAGCACTTTTGAAATCTGAAGTATTTTCATTTATAATTATTCAACAGAGACAATCAAAGAAATCCTGTCTTTGAGGATTTAAAAATCTTGTCGTTTTATAATCTTATAATATATTGATTGCATGAGCTTTAGGAGATGTTTATAATTTATTTCAAACAAATAAAAATTTTTGCCTTTGCCCTGAAAACTGACCTTCAATAACAAATCCTAGTCTGAAAGAATGGCTGAAATAGACTTTGCCCTTTAGAAATCCATGTCCGTTAAAGGGATGGCTGAGTGTGAGAGAAGTTTCCCTACAAACTGCTGTTGGCCATACATTAGGGTTCAGCGGTTTCTGTATATTTCTTTCCATGCATACCCAAAGTCCTGTTGCTTGCTGTCCATTAAGAGAAAGTTTCTTACTTATCTAACTTATTTCCTTTGCTGTTTACCATTCTCCATTAACTAAGCTGAAAAGGAAATCGGCAACTTTATTTTTTGGCTGCTCTAGAGTGAATGTTCATGGGCTAAAAAATGAGTATTTCTGAGATACTGTTAAATGCCCTTAGAAACTAGTATTATCAAAGAATCAGTCTTACAACTTGCCAGTGTTAACGACAAGTGCAGTCTCTCTGGTCAGGACAGTGCGGGAAGTTCTATCTAAGTGAGGTAAATAGCTTCCTTGCAGACTGCATATTGGTTAACTCATATTAAGAAGACTTGAAAAGATGAATTTCTTTTATAATGACAAAAGCAGTTCTTTAGGTGTTAATGGTTTAAAATTAACAATAGCTACACTGATCAAAGGAAAAGTTGCTTATCTATTTTTGATTCTGTTTACTCCTTAACTCTGAAAAAGGAGGGCATGCCTCTCTCAACTTACAACTTCTTTTTCAATTAAGACTATTCTCTCTCTCTCCCTCTAAAGATTAATGTAGGTTCTTGTTTTGAAACAAATGAGATACGACTCTCTTTAAAGGTGTCTGTGGTTCTAATTCAGATACTGACTAGCTGTGTCCTAATTCTGTTCCTTTCGGCTCTAACACTCAGGAATTTTTCAAGTCAAGTATCTATTAATTAGTGTTTAAAAAATCTATCTATCTATTTATCTATCTATTCACTTTGTAACCTAATGTATTTTTATTTGAAGGTGCAGTGCATGTATTTTGATGGATCTTTCTACATTAATAATACATTTGGGATTATGACTAGTACAACATAGATACTTAATACTTCAGACTATGATTCTTGTTAAGAAATCTTTTTTTCCACATAAGCATAGAGTCTATAAATAACATTGTATAGGAGGATAACAAAGAGCCACTAATATGATTCTAATTTAGATAGATGAGAAGGGGAACAAGGGTAAATTTATATTCTGAAAGCTTTATATCATGAATTTAGGTCATGTATTTCAATATAGTATTGAACATGAAGAATTATTGTGGTTTCCATTATGGTATATATAGGTGCCCATAGTATTAACAAATGAGGCTGCCTAGTTAGCATGAGGCAACGTTCTCTTTTTATTACCCATACCCACCAATGCTGACCTTCCAGGCAGCTTCCCTATTCCTCAGTGGAGCCCTAGCCTTTCTCTATTCTCTTAAATACTTCACACAGCAGCCACTCTATTCATGAAAGGCCCCCGTTTCCAACTGCCTCTATCAATTGGCCTCCAGCATGTTCTAGGACCAGCCTGTCCTCAAATACTTCCTTTTCTCTGAGGCCTTCCCCGACCATCCCACCCAGCTTAGCCCTGTTGTGAACTTCTCTACCAATTTCAACCTTTCTCACAGCACTGAGAGATAGTAAGATACACCTGTGATGCCATGATGGCAAATGAACAAACTTTTTATCCCTGATTTTATTTCCTTGACCTCTGAAATGATACTGTTTTGTTACCCATTCTTCCCTTTCCAGATAACCAAGCTGAAAATAGACAGTAACCCTTTTGCCAAAGGATTCCGGGACTCCTCCAGGCTCACTGACATTGAGAGGTAATGAGAATTTTCTGTTTACTTTTTTGCCCAGATAAGATAAAGAGAAGCACGAGTTTGTAAGAACACACTCCTTCCAGTGCCAAAGAACCACACCCTTGCTGTCAGGTCCGCACTGTTAGTAAATATTCTGTATGGTCTCTAGTTCTCTGCCCCACCTTCCCTTCCAGTTGTAAACTCCGTAGACAGATAAGCAACTGCTCAAGCTTTGACAGCTGCTGCAACTGGGTCTATTTATTCTATGCTTGAATTCTGAGTGAAGCGGTTTCTTTGGTCAGGACATTTATTCGACTGTAAAATATAGGCCTTCTTTGTTATCAAAGACTCAGTCCTCTTGATGACATTAAGCTTCAGGACTTGAGTGGCAATCTGCAGAGAAACAGAATCTTAATAGCTTTTGCCTTCTGAAGTAGATATATCTGCTAACAGACTATAAAGGTAGTTTGGAATTTTGAAACAAGGAGAGGTAATATAATTCAAGGCAAATATTTTAACCTATAGAGTGGACCGCTTATATTTAATAGGAGAGCTATCAGACTTAAAGGTCTCAGGACCTTTAAGAAGGCAAGTGACAATCAGGTGCATATAACTTACCCCACTCTTTACTTGATTAAAATGGTTCACACAGTGTGAAACCATCTATGTGATGAGTAATGGCTATACTGAGATCTACGGTTTGCCCAATATGAATGTCAAAAATGCTTTTTTCAAAGAGAAGATTTTTCAGTTAAAAATCTAACTGATTACTTGTATCCCTTAAACATACGTAAAATTCTGTCTTGGGTTTTTTGGGTTTTTTTGGTCAGCACATCTAAGTTCTACTCTCTTTGCAAATCTGAATTATACAATACAGTGTTATCAACTATAGTCACCATTTTATATGTTAGATTCTCAGACCTATTCATCTTCTGTATTTATTTATTCTTTTATGTGGCCTGAAATCTTTACTAACAAGTGGGGTACCCTAGCCATCAGTCCTCTGGCGTATTTTATCTCCAAATCTTTGTGTGATTTGCCTACCAACTACCTCATCTAAGACTACTTTTAATAGTCTTAATAAACTACTCCTAAAGTAAAAATAGCTCCTTAAGTAGCTCATGTGCTCGTGAGATACAAGTACCCAGACTGACTGCCCTTTAGAACGATGGATTTGACAATGCATGCAGCCACATTTTCCTCTTACTGAATAAACATCCTGATGTGGGGAACATTCACGTGTACATGAAGCTAAGAAGCTTTCAATGGTCTGAGGGCCAAGAGAGCATCTTATGTGACTAGCTGGAAGTTTGCAAGATGACCTAAGTAGTGTGAAACTGGCCAAGGGTTTTGGATTTCATTTCCAGATATTTAAGTCTGAATTTTTCCTAAACAGCCTTTGGGGATAGGACAAATCAGATCAATTGATCTTTGGAGACCTAAAGAAATTAAATTAGTCTGGAGTCAGTTACTGCACTAAACCATCTAGTAATTGAATTGCTCCTTGTAACTGATTGAAAACAGCCCTATCTGTAACAATATAGAGAGCTTTTTAAAAATAAGAGATCTGAGAGAAAAACACATCTTTTTATGACATGATGACAGAAATTGCACTTTTCTAACCTAATTGAATACGATGTTATAAATATGTGACCTTAATGATTTCAAGTTTCCTGTTCCAGATTTACAACTACTGTGTTGGACACCCAAACAAAAATGCCTTTAGGACTGGATCTGTTTGTCTTACACCTCTAAACTCACACTGTTATTCTTTCTACAATTGCACAAGCTTTGGAGATACTCTAAAGACATTCTGGTTTTCCTGCTCTCATTTTATGAGGTTCCATTCAGCTGAGTGTCTCACATATTCATGTATAGCCTTACTCTCAGGGACAGCATCTCCCTCATTCGTAAAAGGAAACTCATTAGCAAAAGTAGAAGGTACTTTCATTAGATGCTTTGCACATATACCTACAATGGACAGCTAAAAAGCAAACCAAAATCCCATAGGGATTTCTTAATATAATCTAATTTACAGTTATTTAGTTCAGGGAAAGAATTATCTGCTGGTGCCATATAATAAATAACCTACAGACAGTCTGTCAGTTGGCATTTTCTTTTTCTTTTTTTACTTGGTTGGGGGAGGGGCACTTTGTATAGTAAGCGAAGTCACAGTGTTACCTCTGAGAAAGGAAAAATGACTAGGAGGGTTTTTAAATGTTGAAAATTAAGTTTCTTCTGTTAGGCTGTTTTGTTTGTTTTATTTTTTACAAATAGAGTTCATGCTCACTGCAGAAAAATACTGAAAAGAAAGAAAAAGAGCATAAGAAAAGTAACAAAATCCCATTCACTCAGTGATAACCACTGGCAAAAACTTACTATATATTCTTCCAGATACCTTCCTATGCACATACAAACATTTATTTCCTTTAAAGATTACCACACATACTATTTTTAGTCATTTTCCTGTTAATATCAGTATGTCTGTAGTATAACTTTCTAATGGCTGCCTAATTTTCCATTGTGTACAATAATTTACTTGTCCAATCTTACATATTAATTATTTAGTTTCCCACCTTTTGTTATTACAAACAGTGCCAGGAGGAAAAATGTGTATCTTTACATGTATTACTTACTATTACCATAGATACATACTAACAAAAATGCTAGGTAAAAGGGTATACATTATTTTAACCATAATGTTATTTTTAATTATTAAAAATTGGGGAAAACCTAAACGTTCAACAGTGGTAAAATGGTTTAATAAATGTTTATAATCATGTGATGGGGTTTTTAAAAATTGTGGTAAAATACACATTTTGACCATTTTTAAGTGTATTCATTCGGTGGCATTAAGTACATTCACAATGTTATGCAACCATCACCATATCCATTTCCAGGTTGTTTCCTTCATTCCAAACAGAAAATCTGTACCCATTAAACAACAACTCTCCACTCCTCCCCTCCCCAGCCCCTGGTAATGTCTATTCAACTTTGTGTTTAGGTACTGCATTTAATGGAAATATATACGTGTTTTAAAGGCTCTTCATACACATTGCCAAGTTTCCTTCAAGAAAGGTTGTCCATGTCATGGTCAAAAGTGTCCAATGCTTTGCACCATTGGCAAACAGGATGATCATCTTTTCATCTTTGCCAATTTGATAGGTGAAAATTCATATTTTTCTTTTTGTATGAGCTGTTTTTCTTTTTGACCTGTTTATGTCCTTAGCCCATTTTTTTTTTCTTTTGGATTATTTATCTTCTCTCTTACTGACCTATAAAAGCTACTTATGTATTAATATTTTTAATTGTTCATATATGTTGGAATCATTTTACCAGTTTGAAATTAGCTTTTTACTTGTATTTTTGATAAACAGAATATTTCATCACCAAATCTATTTGTTCTCTTTATGATTTTGATCTTAAAAAGATATTCCCTAAAGTTACATAAATATGTAAATATTAGACTACAGATTTTTTATCACTTTACTGCTTTCTAGGTTTCTAGGTTTTTGTTTAAATATTTAACTTATGCAGTATTGGTTTTGTATAAGATATAAAATAGACACATCATTGTATATTTTTTATAAGTGGCCCTAGCACCATGTATTTATTAATATATTCCTTTCCTACTTATTTATAATTACCTCTTTATCATATACTAAACTAATAGTATATGATAAACTATTACCTATAATAGTTTTTACAGACTTGTTATCAATCTGCCAATATTGTACCGTTATAATTTTTGTAAACTGATACAATACATACATATGTGATGATAGTTAGATTTCTGATATGACAAATTCCAAACATTTTTACATGTCATTTTCAAATTTTCTTGCCATTCTTTGACATATATATGTTTACAGTCTTTGGAATCATTTTGTCATTAGAATTCTGATTGGACTTGTATTAAATTTATATAATAATTTGGGGGAGAAAATTAATATCTATAAGTATTGAGACTTCCTTCTAGGAATATGTCATATGTTTACCTTTTTTTTCATATGTTTATCTTTTTGCTGAAACCTCTTCTTATATTCTTTAGAAGTTTTGGTATTTTTAAATATTTAAGTCCTGCACATATTTTCTTAGGCACATAGCTAGATTTACTAGAGCTACATTGTCCAGTTCAATAGCCACTGGACACAGATGGCTAGTGAGGATTTGAAATGTGGCTATTCCACATTGAGATGTACTGTAAGTACCAAAACAAAGACAAAAACAAAAACAAAAAACAAACAGTGATTTTGAGTGTTTAATATGAAAAAAGACTGAAAATATCTCAATAATAGTTTTAAAATATTGATTACATGTTGAAATAATCTTCTGGACACTAAAGGGTTAAATAAAATATTAAAATTAATTTCACCAGCTTTTTTTAAATGTGGCAACTGGACGATTTAAAATTACATATGTGGCTCACATTACATTTCGTTTACCTAGCCTGTACTAGAGGGTTTTTTTGTGGGGAGAGGGTTTTTGAAAACAGAATTTTTAATTAGAACTCTGTCTAGTTTAGTCTGTAAAAGGCTATTGATTCTTGTATGTCTTTGGCATTCTGCCATTTTACTGAACTTAAAAAAATCAGCTTTAAAAATTTTTCCTTTTAGTCTTGAGTTTTCCACTTAGATTGCTATATCATTTGCAAAATGATAATTTTATCTTTTTCCTTCTCGCATCTATGCTTTTAACAATGTCGTTTTCTTGTTTTATTACACTGACTAAAATTTTCAGGACTCCATTAAAAAGTTAATGATAATAGTTAGCATTTTTCTTTTGTTCTTGACTTATGTAGTAATGCCTCTAGTGCTTTATCATTATATATTGTTTCTGTTGGCTGTTGGTTTCAGATTGATATTCTTTATCATACTGAGGAATACCCTTCATGCCTAAATTAAGAATCTTTTTGTTCTGAATATTAATTGACTTTATGTTAAATGCTCTTTTAACACCCACTAAGACAATTTTAATTATTTTTCTACTTTTAAATAACAATATGATTAACTCTAGTCATACTG